GCAATGCAGGTACCACGGACACCCACGGACGATCGCGTTTCGCCGCAATCGTACCCCTATTCTCCCCGCAATACCCGCGGCTATCATGGTTCCATACGCTTTCGTTATACACATCAACATTGAGGCGTTGACCATTGCATTTAATGGTGACTTATTGTGAATTAATTACTCGATATTTGGTACTGTGTGCTCTGTTTCAATAATTAAATAAGTATTGATTAGTTAACGAAATCTATTATTGTAAATTTACCATAAGATATGATATATGTTTCCCTAGATAAAAGATGGAAAGTACTATAGCAATTCAGACACTGATCTTGAATATGTCTTGAAGTTGAAGATTCCTTTCCAGCAGAGAACAGAATCATCGAGAAGATGTTTCATTTGTGGAAAAGATGGTCAACTCCTTCGTTGTACAGAATTATCGATAAAAACATTTGAAAGTTGTATGAATATAAGAAAAAACCTCGGAAAAAACTATGCGAGGCAAATCGATATGGAACTCCAGAGAATTGTTGATATTTTCAATGAAAATAAAGGTCGATTGATCTTCTGGCACAGGAATATTGAAAACTGGAGACAATAATGTCAGGAATAAAACGCTTTCTATAGTGAAATTGATGTGAAGGTATTTTTGATGTGTCTAAAAGAATCTTCTACCAAAAACGTTCAAATAAGAGTCAAGTTTTGACCAAGTATTGACTACCAACATTGTTAATTGCCATGGAAGTCAAGTATCATAACCAATGCTTTGTATCGAATTGGAAACATCATAGAGGATCACTGAGTGAGAATCAAGTTGTCATACCACACATGACAAAGAATTTGATAATCTGATAAAATTAATAGATGGTGCAGATTTTCTAATGAAAAAGGGTATACTTTCAACTGTTTATATCAAAAATATGCCGAACTTGGTGGCAAAACTGGTAGGAAAATCTCAATCGAAGATTACTGTCTGTAGGTTAATCGAGAAGGTGAAACATTCATTTTACTTGATTTTTTGGGATTTTCTCTCCTCGTTTCTTTGGACGGTTCGGCAACGAATCTGCTCCCGTTATCAACATGAAAATGCAACTTCCGAAGAACAATGTTTTGCATTTTTATGTTGGGAACGGGAGCAGATTCGTTCCCGAAACGTCCAGAGGAACGAGGAGAGAAAATCTAGAAAAATCAAGTAAAATGAATTTATCGAAGAAGTCAGAGAGCACTACGACAAGGAAATAGAAATTATCAAATGAATCAAAACGTTTTAATGAGTCGTAATTTGTGATTCCAAAAGTGACAAAAACCCTTTATATAAAGCGAACAAAGTGAAATTACAGAAGATAATTCCCCTGACTTTGTATATGCATCAGATATGACCCAGATACACAAATTGAAATTTTTTTGAGATATTTATCAAGATATGAGAGATATTCCAGATTATAAACAACTCAAAAATATGGATGTCAAGGCTTACAAGGATATGATACCAAAATTTTTTTTTAAATTAGTTGCCTTATATACACGATAAAGTTGATTCAGTTGATTCAAATGTGTTCAGTATCTGATGTCAAGGTATAATACTCGGTAATTCGAAATTCAAAAAACTCACACCGAAACACGTTGGTTTGGGAATAATGATTCATCAAGAGACATGATGGAAAAAAATTATCGTAGCTTTGTGTTCTTGTGGACACTGTATCGTATTTACGTGTATTTACAACTTCGCAATTCGATAGGTATCAAATGATGTTTTTTCTAAGTTTCCACAAGGATATCTCATTTCTATTTCAATATTATATGCATCATGTTTTGTTTCAATATTTGTCAATTTGTTAATAAATGAGATGGTTGACATTTTACTCTGATGGATAATAAATGTACTTTCGAGATAGAATCATTCATAAAATAAATGGAGGGCACTTCCGATCAAACAGCAAGTTAAAATAAATTTCTGTTAACTTGGAAAGTAGCGATCAATTCCATTTCTCCCGTGAATTCCAAGATCTTACTATTGTAACACTCAGTATTTCATATTTACGGTGATCGTACTAGGACGACTGCGGGCGTTGCGGGGAGAATCGGGGTATGAAAGCGGCGAGTCGCCGTCCTTCGTACTACCTGCATTGGATTATGATTTTTCCAATATCTTCCTTATTTATGCTTCGATTTTCAAAATCGAAGAACCATTCGCATCTTGAAACATAGGCGCATCGACATTATTTCGAGTATTTTTTTGATAAACGTTATAGTTACTGAGATAATGCGAGGTATATGAAAAGCAATTTAACGAAAATTTACAAGTTTTGAGTTATAGCCGTTTGAAATATGATTTTCTCATATATCGTAATGTAATTGGTGAATATCAGAATTTTCTATAATTTGTTCTACTTGTCACACGAAATCAAGATTCGACAGGGTGGAAGTTCTGGAACCCATCAATATTTTCCACGAATAAAAAAAAATCCATATTTTTTTATAAATTACCCCCTACCCCCCAAACGCACAGGACGATTTTTTGACGACAAGTGGATCCATGATCTGGAGATGGTAGGTAACAATTCTAGCCATGTCACAGCTTTTTACCTCCGATTTCCCACCAACTTTTGATCTAAGCGACTTACGGTTCGTTTGGCACTCTACTATTACTTTTATGAGCACTTCCCGAGAAATAGTAGATTGTTTTATTAGGAATTTTGCATTTGCGAGGCGGAGCGTTTAGCGAAGCCGAGCGAAAGCAAAATTTGCGAACAAAGTCACTTTCGATCCGAATGAAACATGCTATTTTTTCTGCAACCGAAACAATTAACTCAAATAAACATGTGAAGTAACCACCAATGCCGTGCTATATGTATGCAATGCAACAAATATTGACAAATAATCCATGTGGTGAGAATATTCTACCTGCATAGAGTGACATATTTGTGTATGGACCAGGCGCTCTAATGGCAAATACCGCGCCAGTGCCATCAGCTATAGGAACAAGACGTGGAAAATGTTAGGTTAGTGAGCATATCAACAATGATAATAGTGATTATTCATTCCTCTCCATACTACACTGTGTTTGACTTGATGATGAAATGAAGCTAAACAATATCGTTGTTTGAGACAAAAAAAACTATTGCTTGCCGTGATTATTCAAAAACAAGTTATCCATCCCGAGAATAACGAATGAAATACAGATCAAGCAAGTATTTGAATCTTGAAGGCTTCCCTGGTCAAAACAAAAATACTCAACTGAGATGTTTATAATTCCAATTCTAAACTATAATAAGATGTATTAATATCTCCAGCATGGGTATGAAATGCCAAATCTGCTGAAATCGGAAACAAAATAGGTATATGCGTCTCAACCCAAATAACCAACCATCACAATGTTGTTTATTCTTGATGACGTCCAGTAGATCCTTTTTAGTTCCTAGGAACTAAATATGTTGCCTAGCAACATACCTATTTTTGTGTCAGTAATAGAAACGTCAATTTAAGAGCTAATTTTGGTATCAAAATGGACGACTTTTGTGTCGGTTGCAGAAAAAGGATATTTTGACGAATCTAACGATACTAATTTATTTGCGATTGGATCAACAAATTTGTTTTTGATTTTGTTGGGCCCAGTACCGAGAATTTTGCTTATTAAACAAGCCATTATTCACAAATCGTGATTCGTCGGAAAATAGAATGAAGTTGATAAAATTTGGGTTAACTCTATGATTTTGAAGCAACCAATCACAAAATACTACTCGTCTATCGCCATCGTCAGCATACAAATGTTGATGTAACTGATATTTAAATGCTCGATATTCGTGCTTTTTCAATATTTTTCTTGCTGATTCGTGACTTATCTGCATTTCTCGATTAATTTCTCTTAAAAAAACCGTTTTGTCAACCTCAACCATAGCAAGAACGTTAATCTCAGTCTCCTCATTTATGATAAACCTCTGTTCTGCCTCTCGATTTCCCTCTTGCCTAAAACGATTCTCAACATACGGAAAATACTGATGAGATGGATGTTGCCGATTGGGATATCTCTGAGCATACAACTCAGCAGCATTCCTTGAATTTCTGTGACATTCTCCAAACAATAACAACATATCCACTTTTTCACTTTGAGTATACATTATTTCGACGGAAAATCAAACTAAAATTCAACGAATATCAAGAAAATTTCACCTTCTGCTCTTGAAGCTTATGTCACTGTCATAACCTAAGTGAGTGTTTTATTCTCCCAAGAAGACTTGATCGACATAACTGCAAAATATTATGCATCATGCCTATCCTCGGCACACTCGACAAAAGTAAATAAATCATTATGAAGTATTTTCATCAGTAATATTCAATTCATGTTCTTATTTGTAATGCAATCGCAAATAAATTAGTATCGTTAGATTCGTCAAAATATCCTTTTTTCGGAAATTGCTTGTCAAAAAATGGGCGCCATTTGAAAAATAATAGTGAGACACGAAAATGTAATTTCGCCAACTTGTCTTATTCATATCTATCATACTTGTCACTAAATCTTCGTATTGTGATTTTCTGATATCACCTGAGGTCCTTAGATTAGTTTAATTCCGATCATGGCCACCTAGATGTAATTTCAAAAGTGACTCCGAAAAAATGAAGTAGGCATTGAAACTTTCGAAAATGTCACATTCTGATCTAGAATTGTCTCAGGAATCCAAAAATGTTACAATATACAGGGTGTTCCATTTAAAAATTTAGAACCGGAGCCATTCCCGGTGAAACCGGTAGTGACCGGAAAGTGGAAAATATGTGAAAATTCTCCTTTTCACATACCATCTACCTATACCAAATCTCATTTTGATAAACCTTATGGTCTAGAAGTTATGACTTGTCTAATAGATTCGTTGACACCCGGTATAGGGATGAGGTAGTTTGGGTTAGACTCGAACATTTACTTTCCATTTTGATTACATCTAAAATGGGTGATGGTCTGAATCGGGCTCGAGGTTTTTCTCATAAGTATTCTGATTGTTTGAATATTATTGTTCAAATAGTTATGCCCTTCTTTTGTCCTCAGATACAGTAAGCTAATATGCTATTCGAGATATAAATCTAGAACGAAAAACACTTATTCATTGAATGAAAACCTCGTAATAATAACATGAAGAGAGAAGATAATACCTTACACAATTCCCAATACAAACAAATCTATAGATTACAAGGTACTTGAGTCATGAAATTGTCTATTGCAGTAGCAAGTGCTATTGAAAATCTTACAACGAACCTAATAATTGATTCTGATTATGAAGCCGTTTATGGACTTTCAGCGTGTCATGATATTTGACAATTTATCCCTTGTATTTTTTTTTGTTTCAGGTTGTATATTTCACATCGCTTTTTCCATACGTAGTATTGACTATATTTTTCGTGAGAGGGATAACACTGAAAGGGGCTAGTGCTGGCCTGGCTCATATGTTAACACCCAAGGTGAGTCATCATTTTGTCTAAGTACTTTTCAGACTATTCAAATTTCGCAAACTGAACATATTGAAAAATTGTGTTTTGACACGTCTTGGGCAAAGAACTCGCTATCTTACGGAGTGTCATGTACAGGGTGCATGGGCAAAATTGGGCGTTTTCATCCCAGACAGCACCAGATATTCCATTAATCTCCCTATCATATTCCTTTTGGAATATTGAAACATTCCAGGAATAATCTGGAATATTTCGGAATATCTGTGGAAAATTATCTAAATATGCGAATGGGAGTTCCTCAGATATTCATAGAATATATCCAAAAGAATATTCTATGTTGAATGTTCCTGGAATATTCCAAAATACATATTCTAATATAAAAAAGTGACCCAAGTAGGGATTGAACTCGTGACCTCAAGACTATCAGAGCAACGTCTTGACCACTATAAGCCAGTAATCGAATTGAATAATGTTGTACATATCAATTTCTTCTAAGAGCGTTGTTCGAAATCGGATCATAAACACTTTTTGATTCAAAATCCCCTTACATCTAATTGATGTTTGATACTCACATCTATGAAATGATGAATAGTATTTATGTGTTGAGAAACATAGGAATATTCATGGAATATTTCATGAATATACACCACAGAATATTCAGTTGGGAATATTTCATGAATATACCGCACAGAATATTCAGTTGAGAATATTTCATGAATATACCCCACAGAACATTCAGTTGGGAATATTTCATGAATATACAACAGAGAATATTCAGTTGGGAATATTCCTGGAAAATTCATACCTGAATATTCCCTAAACATATCCGACTATTCACTTTGGAATATTCCTTTTAGATGTTCCAGAGGCATGTATATATTCTAGGAATAATCGATGAATATTCGGAATATACTCCTCCTTTTTAGCATATTTAGAGAATATTCTAGGAATATCCAGTGCTGTCTGGGAAGGGCTATGTCAATAACTAAAGGAGTTATCAAAAAACCGATATATATATATCACGGGTTCGATTTTGAAGAAACCTTAAATGGCGATTCGGAATTTTGATACATTCATTCGTTTTCGAGATACAGGGGGGAATTGAAAAATTGTCGATTTCGTTTTCATTTTCTGAGTACCTCATGGTGGGGAATGTTGAAAATTTTCGAAAGTTCATTTATATAGTATGATGCGAACAATTCATTGGCACCATTAGAAATTTTATACAGGATTACATCAAAAATATACGGCAGTCAATTTTTTTCTTATGGAACGTATATTTTGGCACAGTTAGATAGTCCCAGGAGTTCCCAATTCGAATATAACCTTTTTCTTTCACAATTTCAGAAATATTCGCAAAAATATATTCAGTGTGTCACATTTTTCATGGTTGCACCTTCGTATCTTCCGCAATAATCATTGAGGTTGGATTCATAAATTCGCAACTGTGAGAAAGATGCTAATGATATATACTCAAGGACCTATTAGGGGGAATAACTCCAGTGATATCACTGCTCGCCAGCAGCTATCGCCCAATTTTGCCCACCCTGTACGTGCATCCAGCGAGATATCAACCAAAATAACGAGATTATGTTGTTGATGAAATAAATAAAGAGATTGACTTTACATTAACTAAGAACATATTACTCCGGTACCTAGGTACATAAAAAAATAATATAAAATTGAAAATTCACATTTGTCTTACATTTTTTGTTTATAATTTCTGTAAGTGAATATCAGAGAATTGCTGTACTATTCATTGAATACTGTTTCTTTTGTCTGTGACGGAAGAAAAATTCATTTCATTTTTGTTGATAGGTTTCAGAATTCAACATTTCATGAAATTAATGTTCTCAAACGGGAAAAAAATGGGTACTCTGTTGGGTACTTTGTTGTGCCAAAAAATAAGCCAATAAAACCATCTCCGTTAAAGAACTGTCATTCTTTTTCATCTTTCATTCCACTTCGCGGTTTCGTGTATTACTAAACAACAATCAAAAATCAAATCACAGAATTAAATTCCGAATGATACGAAAAACAAAAAGTATACCTATCAGTTCTATCAACGATTCATGGTGGATGACACAATATACGTTTCTGTAGAACGCAACTCAGGATTATTCTGAAAAGTTGGATAATTAGTTGTGTTCTATGGACCTAAAATATTCTCAGCCTTGCGACGTTGCCGCTCATATTGAAAAGTAGCAACAACTTTTATTTTTTCAAAGGAACACCCGGTATATCAATCCATTTTCAGATTCTTCCTGGAGAGCTGATCCATCCATCACACCTCAATTCTAGCAGGAATGATAACAGAGATATAGGGTATGAAAAATCGAAATTTTTCAACTTTAAGAATTTTTCATGTCGAAACTATTCATAATAATTGATCAAAATGGTTTCCTTGTCCCCATCTTAACATTGATGTACTATCAATTGATGCCTATTTGATTGTAATAAATACAGAGTGATTCAGAATCAAGATTTTTGATCACCCTGTATCTATTTCAATTGAATATCAATTGATAGTACATGAAAAGTTGAGATGAGTACATAGAAACCGTTTTGACCAATTATCAATGGTTTCGACACAAAAAATTTTTAAGGTTGAAAAATTTCGATTTTTCACACCCTATATCTTTGTTATCATTCCCGCTAGACCCCAAATGACATAGATCGATGGAATCAGCTCTTCAGGGAGAATCTGAAAATGAAATCATATACAGGGTATCCCAATGTAAGCATCAACGTCGCAGCGCTGAGAATATTTCAGGTCAATAAAACACAACTAATTATCCAAGGAAGCAAAATAATCCTACGTAGCGTTCTCTAGCAACGTCTGATGTACAATTCACTATGAATCAGCCTGTATATGACAAAGCGAGCTAATTGAAGTATTACAAGAGTTGATAATCATGCAATCGACGTCATTATAAGCATCTTGAATTCGATTTTTGAAGGGATCTAAGTTTCCAAGGTCGAATATTCAGTTGGTACTGTTGGTAGAAACATTGAATTCATTGCTTGTGTCAGGACATCTATGCCATTCAATGGAATGAAGAGATTTTGTATTTCGTGTAAAATTTTATTATAAAATCGCAGAGCTCTTTCGGCTAAAAAGCCATCATCAGAGCTATACTCGTCAAGTATTTACAAAAACGTCCAAAAATTAGTAATCGACGACATCATTATGGTACAAACGGAATTAGAAACAAACATACATTCAACAAAAAAGTTCCCTAATGGGTTATTGTAAAATTGTTAAAAAATACAATATGTTAAAATTGTTTAGTTCAGGTCCAGGAAGAACACTAGGGACAGTAACCTTGATTAATCCAATCTTAGAGTATGAAGTAGCGATAAAATCAGCTCTTCAGTGTTTCGATAATATATGACAAGAGTATTAGAAAGAGCTCGAAATGTCAATTCGAAATTCAATGCGGAAAAATGTAATTTTCAGGCTTCAGAAGTGAAGTATTTAGGCCAAGTATTCAATTCTGAAGGAATGAGTCCTGATCCTAAAAAAATTAATGCTATTTTGGATTTACCTATTCCTCAAAATGTTGCAGAAGTAAGAAGATTTTTAGGTATGGTCAACTACTTTGGAACATTCATTCAAAATTTGGCGGATAAAACTTATAATCTTCGTTTATTATTGAAAAAAAATATTGCTTGGTATTGGACAGATTCACATCAAAAAGAATATGACTCGCTTAAAATAATAATCTGTCATGTACCTGTGCTAACATATTATGAGCAAAAATTTCCATTAAAGTTGTCTGTTAATAGTTCAAAATCTGCAGTTGGAGCAGTGATAATGCAAAATAATCGCCCAATTGCATTCTCTTCAAAGTCATTATCAGATTGTCAAATGAAATATGCGCAAATTGAAAAAGAATTGTTTGCAATTTAGTTTGGGTGTCGACGTTTTCATCAGTATATCTATGGACAGAAAGTTGTTGTAGAAACCGATCACAAACCATTGGTAGTATTGTTCGATAAACCTTTGTTGAATGTACCATCGAGGCTTCAACGTATGATGCTGAGTTTACAACAATATGATTTAGAAGTTATTTACACTCCTGGTAAAAATCTTTTCATAGCAGATACTCTCAGTAGAGCACCTGTTGAACCAGCTGATCTGGATGATTCGTTAGAGGAAGAATTACGTATTCATAAGAATTTCTTCGTTTCCAATTTAGCAGTTTCACCTACTAAGCTAGAAGTAATAAAAAAGGCTACTTTGGAAGATTCAGATTTGCAAATAATAAAAAATTATTGTCTCAGTGACTGGCCAAAGTCTAAAAGTGGAGTAAGTCCATCGGTCAAGAATTATTACAATGTTCGTGACGATATTCATACGATTGATGGTTTGATTTTTAAAAATCACAGACTTGTGATTCCTGAAAGTTTGCGTAGCCAGATGTTAGATATTATTCATGAGGGTCATTTGGGTGTTGAAAAATGTCAAAGACTATCTCGAGATTCGATATATTGGCCAAACATTAGTGTAGATATAAAAAATAAAATTGAGCAGTGCACTTCTTGTTTAAAATTTCGAAATGCTAATCCCAAACAACCCTTATTGCCTCATGATATTCCAAATTAGCCATGGCAGAAAGTTGCAGTGGATTTTTTTCATTATGAAAATATAACGTATCTGCTTGTAGTTGATTATTTCTCAAAATATTTCGAAATAACTTCCATGAAAATAACTACTGCCAAAGAAGTAATTATTAATCTCAAATCTATCTTTGCAAGACATTCCCTCCATTATCATTTCTGACAATGGTCCACCATTCTCGTCATTAGAATTTAACAATTTTCTCAAGGAATGGGATATTATTCATTATACTTCAAGTCCTAATTATGCAAGAAGTAATGGTTTAGTTGAACGTATGGTAGGAATCGTAAAAAATATTTTTAATAAATGCCGTGAATCGAAAACAGATCCCTATATAGGCTTATTGCAATATAGAAATTCCGCACTGAGCTGTGGATTTTCTCCTGCTCAATTACTTGAATGAAACTTCCTGTCAGTGAAGATATTTTGAAGCCAAAAGTAATTGATTTTGATGAATATAATAGTAAAGTTGAGAGTAATACTAACAAAATGAAATCTCATTATGATCAACATACAAAATCACTTCCACCATTGAGAGAAAATGATGGAGTAATGTATAAAAAAATGCCATCATCTCCATGGTTGCCTGCAACTGTTGTTCATGAAGGGCAGTCTCCTAGGTCATATATTATCAAAACACCTGATGGGGCCGAATATTGTAGAAATCGACAACATCTGATGAAAGCTAATGCAACCATACCATCAGCTGCTGTTGGAACTGATATTGAACCAAATAATCATTCTGTTAGTGGGAATACAATACGACATGACCTAGAGTCTGAATGTGGAAATGATACGAATGTTATGGTCACCAGAAGTGGTAGGCAAATTGTTAAGCCACCACGATTTTCTTGCGCTTCCGAAATTGATGTTAACAAGCCTAGTACTAGCTATAGACATTAGTAATATTTAGTGTTAATATTTAGTGTTCATAATATTGTTTGTTGAAATAATAATTATTTCATTTCTTTAGAAAAGAGCGTGTTATGATGATAGATCAAGACTCTGTATATAACTGGTATTCGTCATGTATTGCTAGGGAGATAGGGAATTGTCAGTAGATACATGACATGCATGTAACTCAATCAGTCAATAAACGTCTCAAATTAATATCTGATTATTTATACAATAAATAACATAACATTCAGGTAGAATCTAAAAATGCAATGAAATACAGGGTATTCTATTTGAAATAACAACGTTGTTACTACTTTTTGATAGAAGCGGCGACACTGCAAAGCTAAAATATTTTAAATGAAAAGAGCGTATTCTAAAATATGAACATGCATATTTTCATGGTTTTCTCTCGATATAGAGATAGTGTAAGCTCGTCGTGATATACCCTGTATAAGTAATTCGAAATGGAAACCCCTGTATTATTTCATGTCGTTGAATCTATTATTTGTATTCTTCTGAAATGATTTTTGATACTATAAACGTAGGTTTCCAGATATCATAAAAAAACACTACAACTACAAAATTACCTTATGATGAATTTTCGCTAGTAGGCCATGAGTTCCAAGGATTATCGTGTATGATTTATTGTATACTATATGGCTTTTCCTATATCACTATATGTTTCACTATTCATTTTTTGCTTTTCGGTATCTACCTTTCATGTTTTGTGTTAGTGAATTAGTGTTTGTATTCCTTTTTAATGATTAATTTCATACAAATAAATGTTTTATCGATTCCTTTCAGCATTACAGTGCTGACTTTTGAATCCGAGAAAAAATTATTGTATGTATCTTTCGAAATGGCGCCCCAAAGAAATGTTGTAATGTAATGGAAGGTCGAATGATACCCCATTGGGAATAACGTCTTGCAATTTTCTATACGACTTCAGAATATCGAACAAAAACATTCATCCAAAATGAAACAACGGACGATAACGTATGAAATCTCATACCAGGATCCATTCGATTTTTCTTCATCTCTTGGAGCGTACGAGAGGAAATTCTTATAATCCCGAGATCTTGAAGAAATACAAAGAAATAGAATTATAGAAGAGATATTTTCTGATTTATGATGAACCTGGAACAATTGAGAGACATTTGAAAATAGCAGTAACTGACTACTTTGCCATTCAAATGTTCTTCAAGATTGTTCCTAAGTTTTTGGGCGCTTCTTGATTTTCAAGTAACTATTTTCTTTGATCTGATTATTTTCAAATAAACGTCAAAACTAAAAACAACACAAATTTCTTCAGGAATCTTAGAAACACGACATATTTCGCTAACATATCAAATAATTCGATAATTTCGAGTGATTTGGAAGCTTTAAATATTTGCAATCTTTCCGCTAATCAAGATTTCAGATATCTATACAAACCACTTCAGTGCTACAAACCAAATTACTGTAAATTCGGTTCAATCGTTCGACTTTTTTCGATGTCTATAGAGATATTTTCAATTTATCTCGAGTAATCTGATTCTGTTAATTCTAGATTTTTTACCATTTCTAACCGGAAATCGTCTTGTTTGTTGACTTATCATTATTTATTCACATAGTTTTATTTCATTCTATTCATTTCATAACCGATAGTTTGTCAATTGTTTGGACTTTTCGGCTTGACCTCCACGTCTTCTTCTTTTTGATTTATTCGGAACAATTCGAAGCTGATTTATCAAAATTTATCTCAAATTCCTAAGGCTCTGAATCTTGAAGCACCCTGTATCGCTCCATTGAAATGTCAGTAGATATAGTGAATCAAAACCTAAGATAGGGACATCACATCACAAACCGTTTTGGCCAATTATGAATAGCTTCGATACAAAAAAATCTTGAAGTAGAAATATCCCGATTTTGAGCAACCGATATCTCTGTGATTTTTACCGCTAGACCCCTAAGTATTATTTTTTTCTATTAATTGAAATATCTCGCTTAATTTTCAAGATATTATTTTGAAATGTGGTGTGGTCAATACTTCCTAGAAGATCATCATTTCAAGCATTTCAAAGATTTTCAAAATCTACAGGGTGATTCGTTTTTGGAGGTAGAGGCTTCTTTTTCCCCTCCAAACTTTTTCGTAGTACACCTCTGGCATCTTCCATTGATCAAATTGTGTAGATCGTTCAATTCAAAGGCTTTTTTGCTCCTCAATGTTTTTCTAGAAACGTACCGTTTTTGAGATGCATAAGTATATACGTTCGAAAACAATAATTTTGCTTATGTTCCGCTCAAATTGTATTCTTTGACTAAATTCGTTGAAAATGCAACAAAATGTTCTAAGATTGCAATGTTCTTACGCACGAGTCCAATCCTGTAGAGGTTGAAGGATCTCACTTTGAACACTTACTCTAAGCTTTGTTAATATTCATCTCCAGGTCTGTGTTAGACTTATCAATTATTGTTTATTTAGGTTGAATAATTTGCGTTAGTACAATGTTTTATTATGTTAAAGTTTGAGATGGAAATCACAAAGTAAATTCATGAAAAAAAAACAGATATTTGTATTGATACGGTTTTAAAAATTTTCAAAATATTAGAATTTTTTTACGGCAACTTTAGAAAACTGGAAAAAAAACTTGACTTTCTATCCTCCGTATCCCCGTTACTGATCCAGATTGTACTCGTGATTTCAATTCCAGTGAGTACATTTCATAGCATTTTCAACGAATTTTGACAAAGAATGAAATATTTAAGCGAAATATAGGCAAAGTTAACATGTTCTAGGACGTATATGCTTATTTATCTCAAGAACGGTTCGTTTCTCGGAAAGAATTGAAGAGCAAAAAAAGACTTCAAATTGAACGATCTACACAATTTGATCACTGGAAGATTCCAGAGGCGTACTACGAAAAAGTTTGGAGGGTATAAAGAAGCCTCTACCTGCAAAAACGAATCACCCTGTAGATTTTGAAAATCTTCAAAGTGCTGAAATGATGATCTTCTAGGAATCATTGACCACACCACATTTCAAAATGATATCTTGAAAAGTAAGCGAGATATTTCAATTAATAGAAAAAAATAATTAATCTTTGACCTCCGCTACTGAACGAGATCGGACTAATGTTTATAAAAACTTTTTTGATAAAAATGATGAGATCTATCTCCCATTTCAGTTTGTGCCTTGAAACCTGAATCACCCTGTAGATTGAATTGAACAATGATAGAGTGTCAATTTGATCGACAAAAGTGGGACATTCAAGTTCACTAGTGTCAGTAAACACTAGTATGAAATAAATTCCAATTGTTTGTGAATTGAGTTATCTGAAAAACTGAATTGCTATTTTATCAAACTTACAGGAATATGGAGTGAATTCAATACGGCATAAGTGAAAATTCAATCTAGAATCAGTTTCTATAGAGATAATCTGCGAGAAGTGTAGCTATAGAGTTGATTGCAGTATCAGAGTGAGTTTGCCAGAGTATTTTAACTCTTAAAACATACTCTGCGAATTTAACTCGAAGCGTTTATTTACTGTGCATTGTTGAATTTGAGAAAGTTACAATTCGATCATGCCCTTTCCGTTCCATCAGGTGGAGAAACTTTTGAGCCCTAAAGTATGGCTGGACGCAGCCACGCAGGTCTTCTACTCGTTCGGCCTGGCGTTCGGCTCGCTGATCGCGTTCGGCTCGTACAACACGCCGAAGAACAACTGCGTGCGTGACGTCATCCTCGTGTCGGTCTGCAACGCCGTCACCGCCATCTACGCCAGCGTCGTCATCTTCGCCATACTCGGCTTCAAGGCCGTCAGCAACGTGGACAAGTGCGTGTTGCAGTAAGTAATTTTTTTTATTTTTCGTCTTCACTAAAATCATTATAATGATAATAATAATAATACGTCTTTATTCACCAAAGTACATACAAACAAGGATCTAAGTGGATATACGATATTTAAATAATTATTGGTGAAAGGGCGGAGTATCAGCCTAAGCTGTTTTTAAACTCAATCGTTGTACACAAGATGATAGCACAAAAAATTAAAAATAGAAAAAAAAAGAGGAACTTAGTAAATAGTAGTTAGTCAGGAATATGGACAGTCGATAATCCTTAATGAGTGGCTAAGGTTCGGTATCAAGTAATTCAGGCGTATAACTGAATTAGGTATAGCTTCAACCTTTTTTTGGAATTATTAATTGTATATGATCTCAATTCACTGGGGAGAAGGTGATAATGTTTCGGTGCCATGTACGAGAAGCTGCGAGTGAAAATTGCAGACTTCTGTTTGGGAATGACTAGAATAGATTTGTTACGAGTTGCAAATCTATTTATATCTGAAAATGGTGTCTGTTTTTTTTTGGAAGGTACCAGCGTACATACATTAGATATGTACGCTGAAGGTACTCAGGCGTGTTTGTCGTCAGTAGGTACATTATTGGTGATAGTCAGCAGGTGCAGAGTTCTGAGTTTGTTGAGCTTGAGCCAACCTCATTCCTTCATTGCTGATGAGATATGGTAGCATTTTCGGACACCGAAAGAAAATCGTAAACAACTATTTTGGATACGTTGCAGGCGCAAAGAGTCAGATTGCCGCAAGGCAGGTCCATAAATACTATCACAGTATCAAACTTTAGAGATGATAAATGACTTACACAATTTGAGATTGAGTTTCGAGCTAAATAAATCCCGATTTGGATACAATTGTCTGGGTACATGGAAGGTAGTTTGACTGAGGAAGTTCACATACTTTGTGAAAAGAAGCTCATGCAGAATCGAGCCACAGGCCTAAATTTTTCATTTCGAAAACAACATGTAGCATATATCATCGTTAATTCGAATGTCGAACAACTTTTGAGTTCCATTTCTAATTCTTTTAGGTCCGAATAACATTACTGCGGATTTTTTCGAGTTGAGTTTCAACTTATGTGCCGAAGAAATATCGAATAACGCTTGGAGATCGCGAATAATGGCAAGCTCAACATAGTCAAAATCCCGCAAATGGAAAGAAAAGTATAGCTTGGTATCGTCTGCGTAGTGGTGAATATTGCTCTTTTTGATTGATCGGTGAAAATCGCATATGTAGAGACTGAGAAGTAACGGTCCAAGGATTGAGCCCTGTGGAACGCCTTTGGAGAGAGGTGAAGTTCCTGAGAAGATACCATCGATTAGGACCCTCTATGACCTGTTCGAAAGATAATTCCTCACAAGCGTTACTGCGTCCACAGAGGAGCCCTAAAAACTAAGTTTATTGCATAAAATTTCATGATCGAGAGTGTCGAAGGCTTTACTGTAGTCTAGTGAAACCAAGCACGTCAGACTACCTTCATCAGCTGTTCTGAAGAGATCATCAGTTATGAACAAAAGAGCAGTTGTTGTGCTGTGTTGAGCTCTAAAGCCAGATTGCACAGATGTGATAATATCGCGTTGATTCACAAACGAGACTATCCTTCAATATCATTTCTACAACTTTCGATAGGCAAGGCACAATGGGGATGACAAGGACAACGCATTTTCTCAGCAGTTTGGAGAGTGGCCACTTCCAATTATAGCTTTGATGAAGAAGGTGAAATGATTGAGTATGAGAGAATCGATTAGGTGAACCATTCGGATTGAGATATTATCACAGGATATCATCAAATCCAATAGCGTTGCTCTTGATGAGCAATAAATCGGGTTGTACTATTTGGGTTGTAACAACTGAGAAATGCGATAATGTACCAATAATATAATTAATAATCTTCCAGTGTGGAACGGAAAAGTGTGTTCTTATACTTTCTGAATGCACGATCTCTGAGGGATAGCATCTCTTTTATATTATGAGTCAGCCGGGGGACAGGAAGTTTACTCAATCTCTTTTTGAAAATAGGAGCATGTCTACTGAAAACATGACACCCAAATGCGTATCGAAACCAATGAATACAATATAAATACCTAGAAAGGATCCTCTGTGAACGACGAGTGAGGCAAAAATATAGTTCAGGCAACCCGCAGTGGTTACGGATACCTACAATCTCTTTCTATCCTCTGTTGGCTAATGGAAAGCGCTCGCATTATTTGAAATATTTTCTTGTTTTTTGCTTTTATTCAAGAGTATACGTGATTCAATATGAATATTCATTTAGGAAGAAGGATAATGTTGCAATCAATTAATATTTGAAAAAAATTATTGAATTTTTCATTGACCCAAAAGTAAAATTCCATTTTCATTCTCATTGAAATGTCACGATATATTGTACAGGGTGGGCAAACTCAATGTATCAGCACTATCAGAAGAAATAGAAAAACGATAGAAAAAATTTGAAAAGAGGTTCTTGAATGGTATCAAGTACCTAAGGTTTATTTTGAACCTGATTTTTACCTATTTTTCCATGAACATTTATCCACTATCAGAAGGTTGTAGGTTTCATCATCAATGAACTTTGAAACTTACATGGGACCTGGAAGTTGTAAGAAAATCAATGTACATACAAGAAACATTATCCCTATAATCCAAGTTATGAACATCCACAGACACATGCTGAAAATGAATTACAAAAGTTTTTCTAAGAATCTGAACAATTTTCAACTTACCCATGGAGGCAAATTTCTGTTTGTCTTGCTTGTTTTGCACTCAAAGGCAACACGATATAAATAACCATTGTTTATTAATTCGAAATCACAAATCTTTTCAACAATAAGATATTCTGAAATTATTCTTGGCGTTTTTTCGATTGTGTTTATTATATTTATGCAGTCACCATTGCGGTATCTACAGGATGGAGGCTTTAGCTGGAATAAAATCACTATTAAAAAAGTGTTTTTAACCGCCAGCTTAGTTGCAAAGCAACCCTCGAAAGTCAGAGACTTGTGTGAGTTAAGAAGACGGGGACCTTAGCTTTTTAAGTGTCATCCGAAGCACTACTCGGCTGGTAACCGTGGACAGTCCAAAGGATTGATATCTAGGTACCAAGAATGTTGGGTTGGCCACCTATCTCCTCCCGCCCAACGAAACTACCGAAAATTAATTCAGTGCTCGCGCCGGGGATCGAACCCGGACCGCCTGGGCAACAGCCAGCGACTCTACGCTCACGGCCACCAGCCCAGCTATTGGGGCAGTTAATTATTTTTATGAAAGTTCGTGATGTCAACGTCCAAATGTATTTACCTACATTTGGCGAGCAATTTGGAGAATATTCCCCTTCAGGGGTAGCAGGAATCTACCCCAACATATTTTTTTTAAATGCAATGTAATTTTTATAATAATAATATAAACAATACTGATAATATCTTGAAAGCCATCACAATACTGATCTCTGGATTAATCATCCCAATTCAATAATAGCATAAACAATACTAGGAATATTATAAAAGCAATGATCTGACTCGTGATCTCTGGATGCCGCGCCCAAATATTTGATCTATACACTGTGCTTGGATCAACATATCTTTCACGCAGTTCTTCATTGATAACCTTGAGAAGGTTTTGTTTTCTTGTGCATTTGCCTTCTACATCGTCCTGGGATATTTGCCAAATCATCATACCAGCTACACCTTGGGAAGCAACATAACGGGCCTAAAACAGAAGAACATACAGGATTCGATAATATTTATTTATACACCAAGGTAGTGAAGAATAACAGTACTATCCAGGGACCAAGAATATATCCCAAGGCTTCAGCCGAGAGGTATGAGGTCCCTTGGTAATAATATTCTTTTTCTACTCACATAACTAATATGGCATTTAGCGTACGGATATGTACCACGCTAAATGATCGATAAATCACGGATTGTCGATATGTGATTTATTCAAAATATTAAACATGTTACCATGGCAACACGATTTCTTAAACACATCACCATGGCAACGCAGTTCATTAAACACAGCTTCAGTAATTTGAGACATGTCTGGCCTGTCAATTGTATTAACTCTCAACTGTTATTTTCGAGTTTTGTATCAGAATTATTCAAACAATATTCGTTTGTATCAGAATTCTTCATTGAAAATATATGCGAAAAGTAGAAATGAAAGTGAAATCGGAGAGAATGTTCTGGTACTTGCATTTTTCCAAGAAGTGTAAAAATGAAGCATCCATCTTTGAGAACAATTTATTTATTTTGCTCTAAGAATGACAATGAACGTGAAACAAAGTTTAGTAAGCAATGGACTGGACACATCTACAACCAACATCACTTATACGTGTCTCGCTGGTTGCATGCATCAGTCGCATTTATTATGTTCTCAATTCCTATTCCTTTCGAATTATTTTGTAGGTTAGCAGGAATTGCAGGTATGTTGATTTTATTTTCGGTGTTCGTAGAAAAATCATAGTATGTAACGCGTTTATAAACTCTTCTAGACACTCGTTTATTAAACACTCGCTCCGCTCTGCTCCGCTCGTGCTTAAACTACTCGTTACTAAAAGGACGTTTATAACACTTGTTACATAATATACTATTTTCTACTCACATAACTAAAATGGCATTTATCGTACGGATATGTACCACGCTAAATGATCGATTAATCACGAATTGTCGATCTGTGATTTATTCAAAATATTAAACACGTTACCATGGCAACACGATTTCTTAAACACATTACCATGGCAACGCAGTTCATTAAACACAACTTTAGTAATTTGAGACATGTCTGGCCTGTCAATTGTATTAACTGTCAACCGTTATTTTCGAATTTTGTATCAGAATTATCCAAACAATATTCGTTTGTATCAGAATTCTTCATTGAAAATATATGCGAAAAGTAGACGAAAGTGAAATCGAAGAGAATGTTCTGGTACTTGCATATCTCCAAAAAGTGTGAAAATGAAGCATCCATCTTTGAGAACAATTTATTTATTCTGCGCTAAGCATGACAATAAACGTGAAACAAAGGTTAGTAAGCAATGGACTGGACATATCTACAACCAATATCACTTATACGTGTCTCGCTGGTTGCATGCAGATGCATGTATTATGTTCTCAATTCCCATTCCTTTCGAATTATTTTGTAGGTTAGCAGGAATTGCAGGTATGTTAATGTAATTTTCGGAGTTCGTAGAAAAATCATAGTATGTAACGTGTTTATAAATTGTTCTAGACACACGTTTATTAAACACTCGCTCCGCTCTGCTCCGCTCTGCTGCGCTCGTGCTTAAACTACTCGTTACTAAAAGGACGTTTATAACACTTGTTACATGATATACTATTACTACCAACTGGTATATCAATTATATTTCATCCACTAGCAATATATTTCATTCATTTCAGTTTCGTGAAATTGAAATATGAACCTATTGTCATTATCAATGCATTTCTTTTCAATTTCAATTATGATCAAGTAGCCATGAACATAAGACAGCAAAATGACAGGTCGTTATTGATCTAGATCTGAGTGCTATTAATGCGAATCTCGCATCTGAACAGTGAATTCGGTTAAATTATAACAGAGGTGGCCATGTGATGAGTGGTTCATGAAATGACAAAAACTACCTGGGAAGTGAAAACACACTTTATGCCTCGACAGTTTTTTTCTCATGTTCTGGTTTCCACGAAATGGGATATCCTGTAATGTTCAGAGAACATCATGAGAACCAAGGGACATAAGGTAGGAATTGGTGTTCTTCTTGAATTTCTGGAGTTTATATGCGGCGGGGAACACAATCCTTGGCAATGTGTTCCAGAGCCTCGCTGTTCGTTGGATGAACGAGTCTTTGGAAAGAGATTTTCTGCAGGTCTCCAAAGTGACCACGAAGGGGTGCGAAGCCTCAACTCGACGGGTTAATCTCGCGGGGACTGCCAAGGGAGGAACAATTGTTGATATTTCAGAAGAGCATCGTCCATGAAAATATCTATAAAATAAAGCCAGATCGCCAACTTTTCTAAGGTGTTCCAGAGAAGTGAGTGAGTTTGTGAGCGAGACATCACCCACGAGACGAATTGCCATTTCTTGGACAGAAAACAACAGTTTCAGGATATTTGTGAATGCTGTACTCCAAATATGGGTAAAGTATTCCAGGACAGGTCGGATCTGTGCCTTATAGATCATAAGCAGTTGACTGCGAGTGAAATAGCCCCCGAAACAGAAAACCATGTTTTTTGGGATGCACTTTTAGCAATTGATCTCACGTGATTTGCCCAAGAAAGGTTATTGCTGATAGTAATACAAATCATCGAAATTGATGTCTTCAAAGGTATATGGTTACTCCTGACAAGCTTATGTTGAGCACAGTGAGATCGACTTTACTAAAGAAAAGGCATGCTTGTGCTTTGTTTGCATTGAAATCAATCAAGTCATTGGATCCTAATTCGAGAATTGTTGCCAAGTCCATATATATGTTGTCAACATTTCTCCCTCGTTCGTTTCTGATTTGCCTGGCTGGTATTGGAACCCTGGAAGAGATTGCGGTATGGAGGGTTCTATCATCCGCGAAGCTGAGTTGCTTCCAACAAATCGTTGATATGGAGTAGAAATAGTGTCGGTCCTAGAATTTATCCTTGCGGAACACCAGCATTCATAATAAGAGAGTCAGATGAAACTCCGTCGACTAATACATGGAGAGAGCTGTTTGAGAGAAAGCTAGCTAGCAGAGAACATAGCTGGGGAGGCAAGCCATAAGATGGAAGCTTGGCGAGAAGTCCGTGGTGCCAGACTCGATCGAATGCCTTGGAGATATCAAGTGCTACAGCTAAGGTTACGCCATATTTTTCGATAGATTGCTGCCATATATGTGAGACGTAAGCGAGCAGGTCACCAGTTGATCTCTGATGACGTAAGCCATATTGCATATCGTTGATAATACCTGAATGTTCCAGGTATTTCATGAGCTCCATGTTGATAGCTTTCTCCATGATCTTTGAAATATATAGTAGTGCGATCGGTAACTTGCAGAGAACAGGTGTTAGTTCGGGAGCACATTTCTTGAGAACAATCGGTGGGATTCCGTCGGAACAACAAGCTTTTTTATAGTGTTGAGACCCAATAAAATCTTCTTTTTGGTAGGTTTTATAGCTAGTGGTGGTAACTAGGATTATCTGTTTGTGTGATTTCCCTAAATAACGAATTACGATGCATCAGATCATCTTCATATTCATCGACCTAAGAAGCAAGCAATTGTAAACATTCCAGCTTTCATAAATGCATGACAAAATATCAAAAGTTCCCATTATAGAGAAAAGTAATGAATTATACCTACGACCACTGTAGATGATAGGCAAGAAGGCACAATATACAGGGGGCGCAGGATACGGGAAAATCCGACGTCATCTGACGAAGACGAAGAACCAATACCTCAATCAACGATCATATGTGACTGCCGCAGGCGGCCGCTATCTCTCTTTTCAATATGTTGGATTAAATGTCTAAAAAATACATGCTTTTCATATATTCCGGAATCCGAATCACTGTAATTGCTTGATTTATAATAATTTTGTCTTTGGAAAATTGTTAAAAATATATTCAACAGGACTAAAAATGAAAATGTATTGATAGCTCGAATAACCTCAAAGAAGCTCTGAAACGAGGCTTGCAGTTATATATGCCAAAAAAAGGTCACACTTCCTAGACCTTCTGGAAGGGGGAGTAATTCAGAACTTTGGTCTTGGACGTAAATAGCTGGTAATCCGGGCCTGGTAATACTACAACTACAATCTCTACATATGAAGATATCACAATGTCATATGATTGGACACATCTGAATACTTCTTATATATTCATCAAACTTGTGAAATATAAATATATTATACAGTATGCCTGAAAAAGATGGCAATTTCAGGAAAATAGTCAAGTCTACGAGTTTTGTGAAATGATGATGATGTGAGATGAGGGTTTCGATCTGATGCTTCTGGCTCAAGTCTGCTACTTTTTTATTCAGGAATCTTGTAGATGATTCATATTTCATTATCGAACATTTCATACTTCTCAGACGATTCAGCAAAGTGTGAGGAAGCTGTTCCTCGGCTCTCTGCATCAGTGGTATTCATATACGGAGTGATCATGTGTATAGGACATAATGATTACTTGATTATGTCTTTCATCCCATGGCAAGCCACTCATGGAAAAACACACTCGTCGCTACGCGATTGCGTGCGTAATTTTTCCATTCGTGCGTAATATGCTCTTTACAACACCTTGTAACGTAATGAAACTACGGTATGGTTACCTCATTATCTTATTCAAAATCTGACATTTTAGTGATTCCAACCAATAGCTATATTTATTTATTTATTTATTTATTTATTTATTTATTTATTTATTTATTTATTTATTTATTTATTTATTTATTTATTTATTTATTTATTTATTTATTTATTTATTTATTTATTTATTTATTTATTTATTTATTTATTTATTAATTTATTTATTTATTTATTCATTTATTCATTTATTTATTTATTTATTTATTTATTTATTTATTTATTTATTTATTTATTTATTTATTTATTTATTTATTTATTTATTTATTTATTTATTTATTTATTTATTTATTTATTTATTTATTTATTTATTTATTTATTTATTTATTTATTTATTTATTTATTTATTTATTTATTTATTTATTTATTTATTGAACAATTAACTTCCAGACAGAATGGGCTCTGGTATAAGGAAGTACATAATTATATACCTATAAGTAAACATAGCATCATTCAAAATATATCAACAACTGTAAATTGGCAAACAAAGAATAATATTTGTAAAAAAAAATAATAAAAAAAATGGCATGATTAATTTTATCCAGTCCGCTCAGAAATAATCAGTTTTTTTACTTCATTTTTGAATATACCTATATTTCTGCAATTTTTCATATTATCAGGTAGTTTATTGAATTCAGTTAAGGCTGAATGAGTGAATCTTTTTTGCCCGATTAGGGAGCTAGCGGCGTCAAGATGATTATGAATTTCAGAATTCCGTATCAAAATAATATTCGACTTCAATTTTTCATTTATGATATTATATGATATTTTAAGAGTTTCAATTCTATATATTTCATCTAAAGAATACGTATTTGTTATTTCATACAATTGATTGGTTGGTGTATCAAATGGGAGACGATACAATACTTTTAACGATTTTCTATATAATGTTGATATTTTATTGAAATTATTTTTGAACAAGATCCCCAAACATTCATTAAATAGTTGATACGACTCAGTATATGAGAGTAGAGAATCATGTTTGCAATTTTAATATCAAGATTGGGACATCTTCTCAATGCACCAATAATTGAAGATATTTTTTTTGTCAGAACATCATTATGTTTGTCCCACTCCAACCTGTCATCAAACCAAATACCAAGATATTTTATCTAGTCAGTTTGTTTCAAGAGTTCATTTTTCATTTTAAGGTTGAGGTAAATTTTCTGTTAATTTTTTTGGTGAAAAATCATATATTCTGTTTTGTTAGTATTTATCGATAAAAGGTTAGATTGGAGCCATTTTTCAAATATTTTCAAGTCTTCATTTATCATATTTTCTAAATCTGAAGGATTCTTGCCTTCATATAAAAGTACTGTATCATCTGCATACATGGTATATTCACACGCTAGACCAATTTCACTGATATTTTGAACATAAAGTAAATATAGTATAGGTCCTAAAACAGAGCCTTGTGGGACTCCCTTATTCATTAATAGTTTATTTGACACAGAGTTGTTTGATTTTGTATTGATCCTGGCCAATTATTTTGTATTGATAGAATGAAGAGATTTTGTATTTCGTGTAAAAATTTTTATTATAAATCGCAAAGCGCTTTCGGCTAAAAAGCCATTATCAGTGCTATACCTGCAATGATGATGGCTTTTTAGCCGAAATCGCTTTGCGATTTATAATAAAAATTTTTACACGAAATACAAAATCACTTCATTCTATTGATCAGTTACGTGTATGCAGCTAGTAAAAATCTTCACCTATTTTGTATTATGCTAATAGAACTACTCTTCCTCGATGAAACCTTATTACGTATTGAACTGTTTCAAAATCAATAATATTCACCTCAGTGTGAATCACAATTTTCTTATATGTGTAGCAAACAATGTTAATCATGGATTCTCTAAAGAAATGAAATATTACATTTCCAACTGTCATTCAACATGATAACGCAAACATTTCACTTACTACAAACATTCATGACTTTTATCGTATAAGTATTTATTTATTTATTCATTCATTTAGCTATTCAGTATGTTCTCAAAAATATCCAGGGCTGACCACTTTCTCGTTTGCACTTCGTGTGTTTAGTGAGAAATGATTGTCATGCAAAAGTCCCTGCCCCTCCACCGCATTGTGCCCCAAAAGGATCTCAACTAGGTCCGTCGTCATTCCAAATTGATGTCAACCACTTCATGATCTTACCTTATATCGAATCGATTCTTCATCATCATAACCCAGCCATTGTGTACTAGTATATTTGTAGTGATTTTTCTGCTCATTATCCCAGGCGGTTGTCCAATTTTTGTATTTTTTGCATATCTGTGAATGAAAAAATATCGCCATATATTGTTTTCCACAACTGTGTAAGTGATGAACATACAAATAATGTACCCAAGGTAGAAAAAATACACTTGGAGTCTACTGATTGGCTGACCTAACTTAGTCATTGATTGCCTGATTCACTGACTGACCGACTCACACATTCTCTCATTCAGAATTGATTGATGACTGAATAACTGACTGACTTACTCAGTCACTAGCTGGCTGACCTTTTGATTAACTGACTCACTGTCTTGGTCACTGATTCATCATCTGATCCATGTGCCGACTCTCTGACTTACTAAATGGTTGCCAGCTCTGGAACCTGGTGATGGAAGACCTGCTAGTCACACTAGATAAGAATGGACACGAAACCGTTGGGTACGCAGACGATATAGTCATCACAGCCCAAGGCAAATTCAACATCACGGTCAGGGAGAGGATGCGAATGGCCCTAAACCTGGTCAACACATAGATAGAAAAAGAGGACCTAAATATAAGCGCCTTCAAATCAACCATAGTAGGCTTCACCCGACGAAGGAAGCTAGAGGGACTAGGTCCTCTAACACTTCAAGGAACCGACATCCAGTTGTCAGGGGAAGTTGAATACCTCGGGGTGATTCTAGACTTGGAACTTCCTCGGAACCAACAACTGGCAAAAGTAAAGAAGAAAGCCCTGGCAACACTGATGATTGCCAGACGGGAACACGGAAAACATGGAGGATAGCCTCAAAATGATGTAATGAACATACAAAATTATGGTGAAATCCATGATCATATACGCATCTTTGGTATGGTGGACAAAGATAAACCAAAAACTAGCCTTGGCTGAGTTGAGCAAGGTACAAAGACTTGCATGCCTCAGCATAACGGGAACTATGAAAACAACGCCAACAGCAGCCATGGAAGCACTACTAATCCACCCCCCGATAGACATAGTTATCATGGGAGAGGCTAGAATGGGACATCTAAGGCTACAAAACACGAGCGATAGATCGGGACACAACAAGATAGAGGAAATAGTGGTAGGAAACATTCTTGAATTGAAACCAACGGACAACACTACCCCAATATACTGCTTCAACATGAATTTCGAGGTGATCATGCAAGATCGAAGGAAATGGACAGATGTCAACATCGAGGGAAAACCTGGATTAATTTCCAGATTGACTGACCAACGGATTCATTGGCTAACATAATGGTTGACCAGCTGTGTGCCAGTTTGAATATACTTGCTGACTAACTCATTCACAGACAAACTGACGGACTCACAGACAGGCTCAGACTAACAAAATACGGACTCACAGACAGGCTCAGACTAACAAAATCACTAGTTTACTGATTGCCTCACTGATTAATCAATACAATTACTAACTCATGGACAGACTAACTGACTCATCAACTGACGGACTAACTGGCTTACTAAATGGTTGACTGTTCGTCTGGCTAATTAACCAACAATCTAAATACCTAGATGACTCACTAACTGACTATGATTCACATACTAGCGGACTCATTGGTGCAACGCATCAGGGCTTGATCATCAGTCTGACCGTTCAAGCAACACATTAACTGACTATTTGCTACATTGACTGCCAGCCTCACCAACTGATTCACCGACTGACTCACATAGTAACTGACAGACCCACTGAATTACTCACTGACTGACTGACTCACTGACTAACTCACTCACTGACTGACTCACTTATTGACTCACTGACTTACTCACCGACTGACTCACTGACTGACTCACTGACTGACTCACTGACTGACTCACTGACTGACTCACTGACTGACTCACTGACTGACTCACTGACTGACTCACTGACTGACTCACTGACTGACTCACTGACTGACTCACTGACTGACTCACTGACTAACTAACTAACTGACTGACTGACTTATTGACTGACTGATTGACTCACTGACCGTATAACTGTCTGACTCACTGATTGACCCATTGACTGATTAATTGACCATATTCATACCTCTAAATACGACAGAGAAGATGTCTTGGTTTGATCGATCGGCGCATGCAGAAAGTGTTGTATTGGGCTAATGAAAGTGAATAACCGCCTGTAGAACGGCACACCTGCGTAGGGACTAGCGAGGGTGAATAATCGCCCGTAGAACGGCACGCCCACGTTGACCTTGTCCTTGGGCGCGCCCGCGTTCAGCCATTGCGAAAGGGCGGCAGCAATATTGAGGTTATCCCTCTGGTAGGGCGTGTCGAGAGTGGAGGCGAACAGGGGGGAGTTTTGGCCGGTGGTGGAGCTCCAAGGGCCGTAGAAGTCGTAGCACATCAGGTTGATCATGTGAAGAAATCTGGAAAGGAAGTTACCTGTAAAGTTTTTGGTTCAAACAGATTGTCTCGATGAGAAAGTTGAATGTATTATTTTTCAAAGGTGAATGTTGAATTGATCACTTTAATGCCAGCTTGATCATTATGAGAACCTCAGCATACCCAGTGGACAATGAGCTCGACCACAATAATCGTATACTTGATACTATGATAATTCAATTTTCAAGGTGGACCTAGGGTTCCTTGATGGAAATTGACGTTATAGTCATTACGGACAGATCATAGCTAGATTCTTTTTCATTGATCTAGAGACTTTAGTTTTGTCTACTGGCATCCCTGACATTGCTGTCACGTCACATCCAAGGGCGCTAAATAATAGGTATGTACAGGGTATTTACTTGTTGAGGAAGATCATATGGCGAACGAGTTTTGTAATTATGATCCGATTCTATTCAAAATTGGAAGGTATCTGGGGTTTTCCGGGGTTGGAGATAATGATTGTTTCTTCAAACTTGGAAAATTCAAGATGACGGATCCAATAGGTATACAGGGTGGGCCACCAGTAACGCCTCGGTTTCTAGAAGGCTAACCACTTATCTTTTTGGAATTCTTCCTCTCTAGGAAGTTGCATGTCAACATAGGCTACCATTTGAAATTATTTTGAAACATACAGGATGTCCCCAAAAATCACAAAACACTGAAGTTGAACTTTTTTCAACACCCTATATATTATTTCATTTTGAGATTCTCCCTGGTGAGCTGATTTCAACAATCCATCATACTTGGGGTCTAGCAGTTATAATTACTGAGATATAGGGTGTGAGAAATCGAAATTTTCCAAGTTCAAAAATTTTTTGTGTCTAAACCATTCATAATTGGTCAAAACGGCTCACATGTCCCTATCTCAACTTTTGATCAACTATCTACTGACATTTAATTGAAACAAATACAGGGTGGTGCAGAATTCAGAATCTTGATCACCCGGTATATGTCCCAATTAAATATCAGTAGATAGTTAATCAAAAGTTGAGATAGGGACGTGTAAGCCGTTTTGACCAATTATGAATACACGACACAAAAAATTCTTGAACTTGGAAAATCTCACACCCTATATTTCAGTAATTATAACTGCTAGACCCCAAGTATGATCGGTCGTTGAAATCAGCTCATCAGGGAGAATCTCAGAATGAAATGATATATATGGTGTTCGATAGAAAAAAGTTTAACTTCAGTGTTTTATGGTTTTTGGGGACACCCTGTATGTTTCAAAATAATTTCAAATGGTAGCCTATGTTGACATGCAACTTCCTAGAGAGGAAGAATTCCAAGAAGATAAGTGGTTAGCCTTCTAGAGACCGAGGCGTTACTGGTGGCCCACCCTGTATATCGAAAGAAATTTTTAATTATGATCTGATTCTATTTAAGATTGGTATCTGAGGGTTTTCCGGGGTCGGAGATTATGAATATTTCGTCGAAATTGGGATATTCTAGATGGCAGATCCAATATGGTGAACGAGTCTTGTAATGAAGATCCGATTCTTTTCAAAATAATTGGTATCTGGGGGTTTTCAGGGTAGGAGATAATGATTGTTTCGTCAAAAATTGGAAAATTTTAGATGACGGATCCAATATGGCGAAAAACATTAGTTTAATTAATTATTATGATTATCACTCTACCACAAGTAGAAAATATATGGGATGCAAGAGTGAAAATAACGTGCCTATAAGTTATACTGCGTATACTTAGCGTATATCTACTTATTTGTTACTTTCATCAATAAATTATTCGAAAATGACTTTTTATTTGAGGAAGACGGAAGAATCATATGTATAACATGGGGGTAAAGTATGTTCTATTCTTTATTTTCCTGCACATTTTACGTATTACTTTTAATCAGCCTACTTTTCATCCTAGACGACGTTTTTTACATAGTGTGATATTAGTAACGCCATAAATTCTTCTCCGAGTTGGATTTCCGAAAATATATTTAGCACATAATATGACATGAGTACAGTAGTTTAGGTTTCTTAATCATAAAGCTCAGCGCATTCAGTCAATTCAGTCAACCCTGGTATACAGTCTAAGAACAGTATCTTTTGGTGAAATATATTAAGCTTTCAGTACAATTTATATGTTCCCTACCTCGCAAAGATAATGCTGGAGTAGTAAACTCTAAAACTAGAGGATTGTTCATCTATATCTTGGTATAGTCAGAGATGTTCCCTACCTCGCAAAGATAATGCTGGAGCAGTGAACTCCAAAACTAGAGGATTGTTTATCTATATCTTGGTATAGTCAGAGATAAGTTAACATATCTGTGGTATAGTTGAATCAGAAATTCCATATGGAAATTACGTGTGATACGCCAGTGACCTCAAGATAACCTAAAAAACAACGAATGTCAAAAATCTAGTGTTTATCCCCAGAATTGAATGAGGATGGAACTATATAACTGTTTCACAAACACTTTAGAGTGAGAGGAGACGAGGATCTGTTACCCTGTTAAGATGACTTTAACGTCAATTTCCATCAAGGGACCCTAGGTGGACCGAGCAGCTTATCATTAAATGCAGATGAAGTTAATCATTTGTCATTAGAAATGTCAAGCTGTCCCAGTTAACACAAATTGATTCCAGAGATATTAAAGGGCTTCAAATTCATGCCACACATCACATCCATGACTCGAAATGAGAATACCAGTGAAATAACAATGACTGCTATTCCGGACCATTTTGGTCATTTTATAATTCACATCATGATGCCAAATGGAACTCACAGTATGTATTAAGCGACTCCCCATTCAACATCAAAATTGATTAATTCCGTTTGTTACATAAATAGACAAGAAAGTGAGGTTCCAGTCAGTCTCTTGGTTGTTAGAAAGCCTCATAAATTCACCTATATTTCAAGTCTCGAATCCATAACCAGTTGGAAATTGAACTGTTTCCTTATGGATGATCCAGAGAAACACGATAAGATAGAAATTTTCATTTCTAAAAACACAATTGACTGTCTGTCAATCTTACAACAACAACAACAACTCATACGTTTGTATATAAACCAAAAGAATATTAAATACAAAGGTGACTTGGTGAAATGTATGTTCTAATTCCAACCAATATAAAGTGAGTCCCCTGGCAATACAAATGATGTTTTGTTGTAATTCGCATTGTTACCTAGCTAGGCCTGAATGTGACATCCCAGGAATGTTTGTGTTTACTGGGAAAATTGATCAGTTTCTGCACAAGAACTTATATCTGATATTTGATCACGACTGACGGTGGTGTTATTCTTTCTAGGTGGGTGTGAATATTAATACCGACTTACTTTGAAATTTTTACAACATCATACCCAGGAGATGGGTTGGGGTAGACAGCTGCGCTCAACAACCAACCACGCGAGTCAAAAGCTTCTCTGAGATCTCTCAGCAAATTCACAAAATTTTCCTGAAAGAATTCACGAATTATTCAATAAATAACTGCACATTTCTATCGAATACCGACTGTAGCAGCTAGCGACATCCTACCCCTTCCTTCACTTTGACTAGTGCAAAACCAAGCAAGATGGTGAAGAATCGAGTCGATCGCTATTGGTCGAACCAGTGATGGGAGGGGAGTGATGTCGACAAACGGAATAGCCGTTGCGGTCGCATTCAACGTCGGACTCACAGCGTCATCGGGTGCTGGTTTCTCCCAGTGTACGTCCAATCCGTCGAACGAGTATCTTGTGAGCCAATCCACCGTGCTGTTGACCAGTACTCGCCTGGTCACGTGCGAGGCAGCGACTTTTGAGAAAACGGCGGCGTCCGTGTCACCGACGCTCAGTAGAACTTTCAGCTTCGGGTTGCGTTCCTTCAGAGCGACTGTTCTCTCATAGTAACCTGAAAATAACCTATTAGTCGCTAATTTGGGCAGGTTCTTTTTTAACACGCGTATTCTACGAGTGGCTTGGTATGTAAGGTTTGAACGCGGATTCTACGAACGTGATTTCGATCCACTTCAAGCCGTCCGATTGATTTGATAGCTGTTAGCCAAAAAAAACCAAATTGGGGGCTTCAAAATGGCGGACGAGTTTCGCAGTTATGATCCGATTGCAAATATTGGTATCTAGGGTTTTCGAGATCGGAGATTATGATTTTGTTATCAAAATCAGGTGATACAAGTTTGCGAATTCAATATGACTGACGAGTTTCCTCATTATGATCCAATTCCATTCGAAATTAGTGTCTTGGGGTTTTTGGGTCGAAGATTAGGATTCTTTCGTCGCAATTGGGTACTTACAAAAACTATTGAGGAACTGAAAAACACGCTTTTGAAGTTAGCCGAACTGGAAAGTAGAAAATAAATAGTAGTTCAAAAAACTAAAGAAACACGCTTTCATAGATAGCCAGACTAAAAATAAGTGAAATTGAAAATAGTAAAAGTGTGTTGATAAATACACAATATAGAAAATATTACCACCTCCGTGATCAGTATATTCTATGTTGTGTATTTTTCATCACACTTTTATTATATTCTACTTCTTTCTAGTCTGATGGCTATCTTTGAAAGCGTGTGCCTTCAGTTCATCAAACTGCCGTTTATTATGAAAGTTAACGGAGGTTCAGGAGATCTCTCAATATGGTTTTCTGGAACGTTGATGAGTACTGATATAATCTGTGACAGAAATCCATCATATCTCAAAATCGATTGGTTTGTTTACCAGGAGCAAGACACAAAGTAGTCTCCACAATTTCAATACCATGATCAAAATTACTTATCCATCTTCGTACATATTTTGAGCATAAATAGGCTTATCTTCATCGGAAGAACAGAAAATTAGGGAGTGAAATGAAGAAAATTATAGTTTTTACTATAGGTGTTGTTATATAAATCGAACCGTTTCTTGCAGACCCAAATAGTTATGAACTAAGTTATCTTGTAGATTCCCAAAGTCAGTAAGATGTCAGGTTATTTTTGGTCTAGATTTTTTCCATACCTTTCGTTATGTCAAGGTACTCGTTCCCGAAGTATAAATTGCCTTTTTCATCCAGACGTACGAAAGCATAGTTCAGATGCGTGCACAAAGACGGATCAAGATCTTCTGGACCAATATTGCCATATGCAGGTACATAGTAACATACTATGTTATCTGAAACAATAGTAGATTGTTTTATTAGGATCAAAAAAGACACTTTGTTTGACAAGCGAATTTTGCATTTGCGAAGCGAAGTGTTTAGCGAAAAAACTAACAAAATTCCCGAGTCAAACAAAGTCATTTCTGATCCGAATGAAACATGCTATTTTTTCTGCAACCGAAACAATAAACTCAAATAAATATGTGAATTAAGCACCAATGCCGCGCCATATGTATGCAATCCGTGTAGTGAGAATATTCTACCTGCATTGACAGCAGGTTCATTCAATTTTCAAGGATATTCGAATTGTAGTTTCAATATGAATACAACCGCAGAGTGACATATTTTTGTATGGACCAGGTGCTCTAATAGCAAAATACCGCGCCAGTGCCAGGTATAGGAACAAGACGTGAAAAATGTTAGGTTAGTGAGCATATCAACAATAATAATAGCGATTTTTATATATCTCTATACTCCACATGTTTGGCTTGATAATCAAATGGAGGTAAGCAATATCGCGTTGTTTGAGACAAAAAACTATTGCTGGCCGTGATTATTCAAAAACAAGTTATTCATCCCGAGGATAACGAATGAAATACAGATCAAGCAAGTATGTGAATCTTGAAGGCTTCTCTGATCAAAACAAAAATACTCAACTATGATAAGGTGTATTTATATCTCCAGCATGGGTATGAGATGTCAAATCTGCCGAAACAAATCAGGTATGCGTACCAACCCAAATAACAAACCGTGACAATGTTGTTTATTCTTGATGACGTCTAGTACATCGTTTTTAGTTTCTTGGAGCTAAAGTTAAACTGAATGTGTTGCCTAGCAACATACCTATGTTTGTGTCAGTAATGGAAACGTAAATTCAAGAGCTAATTTTGGTATTAAAATGGACTACTTTTGTGTCGGTTTCAGAAAAACGATATCCTCTTCTTCGATTCAATGCTTGAGATTATCTCATATTCAAATTTTATCTGTTTCCAAAAATAGTAGATACACTGGCGAAAAGTACACAGCCTCTGTTATTGCATTGGAGGTTTTTATATAGTAAGTTTGGGATATGAGAAAGTGCATAAGATCATTGGAATTCGAAAAGGAATTCCTTTAGTATAGTAAGTGTTGAAGACACTGATAACTTGGATATCACGAATCTCAGCGACTGAAGAATACTGAAATTAACCTATTTTACCTCCCACGAGAAGTGATATTTTTTGTCCCATGAGAGTGAATCAACAGCTTTGTGTCTCTAAATGAAGGAGCAAACTCCTACTTTCCTTCAAGTGTTCAGTGCATCCCATTTTGGGCGAGACAGCCATCAGGTATAGCTCGGTTGTTGTTAAACATACAACCTTGCGGTTTTCTCGGTCGTATGCCACTTTTTTGTGAAACTCCAAAATTCGATGTAAATATTTTAAGAACGTATTGTTGAAGACCTAACCTCCTTTCCGAATTCCACAAAAAGGGGTTTATATAATTTTTTCGAACACACAGGGGCATGCCAATTTGGCTCTAACTCGGAGAAAGTGATTTTTAGTAAACATGTTCACATGAAAAAATGTATTATTTTGATCCTTTCAATATGCTCTCAAAATATTCACATCGAATTCTGAATCACCCTGTATATGATTATAAAATTTTGGATTCTGCGTAAAATTCTCTATGGAATGAGATTTTTATTTGACATTTTCACTGAGAAACTTCGTAGATATAAAGGGGGTCCCACGAGTATAAATTCTCGAAATCGTCCTGTGTTCTCATAAACGGAAACAGTTATGCAAACTCTGATTAGGCCATCATGAGTTTCACAAAAAATTGGCAGAGGACCACAAAAACTGCAAGATACTATCTTCAACAACAATCGAGATTCCTGGCTGTCTCATCCAAAATGGGATGCACTGGACAGGGTGGGCTTAATTGGACACTTCTGAAGAAGAAGTCGTATTCCCGTACTGGATAGTAAAAAAACTGATGTTGGTGTCTGTTGATCAATTCACATGACGAACTCAATGGTGAAAACTGCATATCGATATCTATCTTCGTTTCAGACTTACAAGGTGTTCTTCTAAAACATATTTTTTGTCAAAAAAAATTCTTCGTTGTCATGAAGGGGACACCTAATGTGTCAAAATATAAAGTATCGAATTCAAATCCATAGAAAAATATTTCATCGAATTGGTAAATCGTCTAAATAGTATAGAATCGACACTGTATTCTGTAGAACCGTAAAATATCAAATTGTAAAACATCGGACCGTACTTCATCGATATATAAAATTTCAACACGTTAATCATCAAACAGTTTTATGTCGAAATGGTATTAATACGAGTCATTATTCCATCATATCTGTATCTTATCAGAACTATATTCTATCGAGGCAGTAGTTTATCAAATCCGTATTCTGTCGCAACATCAGTCTATCGTACTAGTTCTTCATCAAATTGGTAATCTATCAGAACTGTAATTCATCAGAAACGATAATTCGTCATAACCGTATTCCATAGAAACCGTAATTCGTCAAAATCGAATTTCATCGAACCAATAAACCATCATAATCGTATTTGGTCATAACAACTTCTCATAGAAACCGTATTTTATAGAATCGGTATTTTATCAAATCAGTATTTCATAAAATCAGTAATTCATCAAACCCGTACTCTATAGAAACGGTAATTCATCATATCCGTATTTCATAGAACCTGTAATTTGTCAGACCCGTATTTCACAGAAATGATAATTTATCATATCCGTATTTTATAGAAACAGTAATGTGTCAAACCCGTATTTTATAGAAAAAGTATCTCATCGGATTCGTATTCCATAGGAATGATAATTTATCAGACCCGTATTTCATCAACGTTAATCTATCATAATGAACATTCATAGAATTGGTAATTTAGCAGCACCGTATCTCATAGAAACCGTAATTCGTCGACACCGTATTCTATCGGACGGTAAACTATCGGATTGTATCCCGTCAGGATGAGATTCAGATGATACAGAAAACTGCACTGCAGTGACACGCCATAGTTCAGGCAGAGACTCAGAGATGTCGCAGCTCGACAGTAAAGTGCAATGATTTCACAGAAACAGCAAGTTTGTCTATAAACATCGAAACTAAAGTTGTACACGGCAACCTCAGAATTTTCGAGAATGAAATAATTGTGAAATACTGCAACATCATTTATTTTCATAATTATATTATGTACAAGCTGTCCCATTTCCGATGTCCTCACGGGATACCTCACTTATTATGCAAGAAGGAGATCTGCGGTTTCTGCAACTTTTCTGTGGAACTCACGATGCCGCAAACGAAATATTCATAGCCTGCTTGGTTTTTGGGATACAGGGAGAAATTTTAAATGTTGCATTTTCGGACCACTCCTGTATCTCAGCTATCTTTCAAATTACAGAAGAAGTGAAAACAGTTTCTCATACACTTCTTCACGTAGAATCCAGTGGCGTAGTCAGATTTTCAAAATAAGCTGTCATTATTAATTTTTTTGTCTCTTGGGGCGCATGAAAGGGAATCCTTTCAATGTTTGGAAATCATCGTGCGTACCCAGGAACGATAGGGGGAGGAGGTAGAAATTGAAATTTGTTTCGATCTTTAGGATCTTACGAATATTTCTATTGGCAAAAAATCCCAAAGCTTCGTCGTTCTATATAGGCAAACAATTATTGTTGAAGATTTGTTCGGCATATCTTAGGGTTGACGACGAAGGGATGTGCTGATTGAGATTGTCGAGCTCGTCTGAGTGGAATTGCGATGGAATGATTGCAGAGATTTCTGGAGATCATTCACCGTAAAAGAACTCATATCGAAATGTGAGAGGTCGCCGCCTCTTCAACGGTCTTCAAGTGATGTCAAAAAATTGTTGAGTGTGGCATCACCCACCAGGCGAAAGACTTTTCCCTGGATGGAATCTAAGAGCATCAGCGTATGTTTGAGTGCTGAACCCCATATGTCGGAACAGTATTAGTCTAGAACAGGCCGTATCTGTTCTTCGTATAGATCATGAGAAGCTGTTGGGGTGTGAAGTAGATTCGTGCTCGAAATAAAAATCCGAGCTTTGTGTGATGCCACTTTTTTAGTATATTTCTTATTGATCCGCCTTGTGAATATAAGGCAATAAAATCTGATGTATTTCTAATTAATAAATAAAACACCGATTGATCTTCATGTGTTTTATTCTTCTCCACCATCTATGTCTCCCATCCCCATAACCTCTATTCTGTCGATGTCACACATCTGACCAGTGACGTTGTTGTCGTCATCATCTATCATGAAATCATGGAACTACATCTGACATAGAACATTGATTGTACAAAGATACATTTCATGATACATCATCTCCCTTTTTCAAATTGGAATAACAAAAATAACACATTACATAATAAACAGATAATAAGTAATAAAATTTGGAAAATAACAATATAACATTTAATATTACCTAACCTCACAATTCTAGTCTACTGGGACATTTTGAAACTCTTCCTGATCTGGTTACATAATTTTTTCTTTCTTGAATATTTTGATTCACTATAGGGTTGAAATCGTTTTCTTGTGAAAAATTATTATTTTGATTTTCTACAAGATTGTTATCATTTTCTGGTATACTACCCTCTTCCTTACCACAGAGCTCACCACTTTGATCATTATAATTACTCCAGTGATTATAGTTACTATCAATGCCTTCATCTTCTTTTCGCCTAATTCTGTTTCCCTCATATTCACTATTTTTAATTTTAGTCTCTAACTTAGATGGCCTTATATCTATATAGTTCCTTCTTTTAACTCTATTATCTTCATCCCTGATCATCACTGACCTGGGGGCACTATGATGGTCAATTATTTTGGCTGGTTTCCACTGATTATTAAAGCGATATACAATATTTTGATCTTAAGCATAGCTGTGTTCTTTTAGTCGTGACCCTTTATCATTATAACTTTTGATTTTGCTAGTTCTATTTTCTAGGAAATTTTGAAAATTTTCAACAATTTTAG